AATTCACACAATTATAATATCTTATTTATGTAGAGATTATTTATTACTTCAAATCATTTTTTTTTTGTAATATAAAGATATTTAACATCCAAAATTTTCAATCGATTGTATGTTATCATGGAAAGAAACCTGAAAGAGAATTCATACCTAACTTTTTCAAATATTTCCTTTTCACTTCAGGCTGCAGCATCAGCGATGAAAAATGTTACTTCAACAATAAATGAGAAGAAACGACGATTGGAAAGTCTACAACAGATCGCTTTATGGCAAATGAGTGTTGAAGGATGGCGGGTTGAGTATTTTATGTTTTCCAATAATAACTAAGTATTTAAAATAAGAAATGGAATATGGTTGAAATGATAATTACTGCTTAATTCTGGTAATATTTGGCAAAAATTTTTTGTTCAAATATTGCATCTTTGTTCAAATATGAAAATTCAAATATTCAAATATGAAATTAATGAGTTTGAAAAGAAAATTAAAAAATTAAATTTAGGGTCCAGATTTAGTGGAAACTAACAGTCGAATGATACATAGTGGTGAAGTGTACTGTCGTTGTGTTATTGGCAGAAATATCATTTGGCATAAAGATATTTTGCTATTTTTATTTGATCAATCATTAATACTATGCAAAAAAGATCTCATCAAGCGTAATTTCTATATATTTCGTGATCGAATTTCTCTCGATTCAGTAACATTTCTGAATTGTGATGATGGTAAAGGTTAGCTTTTCGGAAGAAATGAGCATTCTCATCTCTAAGTAATACACAACTAACTATATTATCTTTCATATTCATTCATTTTTCTACTTATTTAACAAATCCAATATGTTCTATATTCATTCTATCAAATGTTTTATTTATAAAATTTGGCTTGTTTCTAATTTTTCAGACTCGACAACAGGCCTAAATCTAAAGAATTCATGGAAATTGGTAATGATTAATAAAGAAGTGATATTCACTTGTAAAGATCGCAATTCTAAAATGGCTTGGGTGGAGCATTTACAACGACCATTAATTTATTCGCCGGCAACATCTGAAGAACGACGATTGATTCGTGAAACAATTTATCGCACTTCCAGTATGGCCTTCGTATTGTAACGATTAAAGAAATAGTTTAGAGATGGGTAGTGTGTAGCATAGCGGATGATAAACAAAATTTTTTGACTAAATTAGATAAGAAATGAAAAATATCCGGAAATGCAACTGAGCTTATTGGGAATAGCTACCAGTCATTGTACTATAAATGCTCAAAACGATAACTTTCAAATTCATTTAAATTAAAGTTTTGACGATAAATAAGCATTAGTTTGTTTAAATATTTCGAGAGGTGTATGTATCATTTTGCTTCATTTTTCTTCCAACTTATGGTGTGGAATGGTTCAGGTCATTATTATCTTTTACAAAAAAGTGAAGAGATAAATTTTGGCGAATTTATCTAGACTTGTAAAGGATATTGAATTTTGTAAATGTTCAAATTTAAAATGATTTTAATCGCAATCAAAAATGTGAAAAGTAGCGCTACACTGTGCGCTATTCAGATGTCGATTTTATATATTTTATCTATTGAATGTTGGTGTTAACTGTCCAAATAGTTCTTCAAAAAAATTTTTTTTTGGTTTTTTTACTTCTTCTCATTTTTATTCCGGCAAATCTCGTAATTTTAAAACAAAAAGTTATGAAGATAAAAGTAACTGTGCTAATTTTAGACAGCAAATTGACATGGAATCAAATGGATAGCAAAATTATTGGCCGATTCACTTGGAAAAAAATAAAAAATTGAACGAGTGGAAATTCATTATCCTATTATTATTATTATTATTATTATTAACAATTTTCAACGATTCTAAAGAAGTTTAAGTTCTTAAAACTAAATAAATCAAATTTTCAACTAACTTAAATATATTTAAATAATTTGTCGTTAAATTGTCAAGACTTTGAAATGTATTGTCTTAATCTGAATGTCAAATGCATATTTGCAAAGCTAAATTCCTGTTAAATTATTTCATTTCTTTCAACGCACGAGTCTAGACATATGCAAATACAACTTTGCAATACGAACTGTGGCTTGATCTATAGCACACCAATGAGGCCCATTTACTTTCTCTGAATCTAGGCAGCAATTTATCTGGGTTACCACTTGTCTTTCCTTGTTGTTTTACCTCTTATGTTGGCGCAGTAATCCGAGCAAACCAAGCTTTCGCACAATATATAAACCTTTCCTCATGAAAATGTGAGTTTATGTAAATTTTTGATTTTATCGCATTCCTTTAAAAAAATCCCCGTTTCATTTTTAATAGGATTTTAAGTTGTCTTTTTCTTGATTCGGTGGATATTGAAGCAAGCGCATTTCAGCACTTGCCCTCTTTCCTTCTGGTCAACTCAAATTCGTTTTTTAACTCCCTCTCTCTCTGATCTTTTCGTTTTTTAACTCTCTCTCTCTCTCTCTGATCTTTTTTTCTACTTCATTATAATGATATCCTTCTAAGCGATATGATTTGTCAAGTAATGACTGTGTATTTGTTAGGTTTTCATGTTTTTGAAATGTCAAAATGAAGTCAAGGAATTAAGATCGAAGTCTGACAAAATCAAAAGCGGAAAAATTTGTTCTGACTTCAAGCTTCTTGCCAATAATAACATACCACATTGAAAGATCAATTCTAAATTCTTAGCCTAGAGAAATTTTCTTTTGAAAATGAATTTTTAAAACAGAGTTACTGGATTGCTCGCAATTCAGCAAATAGCTAAAAGTAACTAATATTGATACAAGGAGTGAAATTAGATACATGCCTTTCATTTTATCACACAGAAGTTCAAGATATAAAAGAGCAGCGAACAAAGAAAAAACATGAGGAACAAAAACAAAAATGATTGACTTTGGAAGTCATGATTAGAAAAAATGCAACCGCAACTTGTTAGTAAAAAGACAAAGAAAACTCTACTGTCTGTTTTCAATTGGTGTGAAAGTTAAGTAGAGTGGGAAACCTCTACATGAACTGCAAAATATCACATTTTTAGAATATTGTGGAACGAATTAGAGTGAATGCCAAGCGAAGCGATGCAAAGCCCTGTTGAAAGTGGATTAAAACTAGTGATTCAGATAAGACAAAAAAAGGTGAAATCCAATCTATGAAAATTGAAAACACATTATTCAAGTCAACCACAAACTCTAGCAGATTTTGAAAAATAGCATCACAGTTGGTTATTGTCAATCAACCTTTATGCCGATTTCAGTTTATCGTTCTGATGTCGTTTCCCCAAGCTGGTCCAGGATTTCTTTCCTATAATCCTCGAAATCGCCATCAATTTCAGCAATGCCCTATAATTCAAAATTAGTAATAAACCAGTGAGTATTTCAATATTTAGTTTGAAATTTGCTACTAAAGCAGAAATCATGAAGCGATTAGTGATTTACATATTATGAAATATTATCCCGACTATCATAACATCTCACCACAATATATCACGTTCAAATAGGCAAAAATGCACACCAAAAAACAGCGCAAAAAGGAAAAAGTAAAGAACAAACAACAAACCAAATTTTCAACAATCCATAACTGGCAATTTGTTTCCTTGATTAAACGTTCATCGTGTGTAACCATTACGACACCCCCAGCAAAGTTTTCAATTGCTTCTGCTAACGCATGGATTGATTCGATATCAAGATTATTCGTCGGTTCATCCTGGGAAAATACTTTTTTAGTTCGGAAACAATGCTTTTCTTTAATGGAATCAATATTATGGGAATACAGAAATCTCCGTAAATCCTAGTTTATAAATTTTATTTGTGTTATATGTGGAAAAATGTGTTATATGTGGAAAAATGAATAACCAAAAGAATGAAAAATCAATAGAGTGAATACCGTTACAACTGTAGATTACAGGGAACGAAATGAGGTATAAAAAGGATTAGTAATGAGGAGTGGGATCACAGTTATTAAACTGTGCATAAGAATGTTTGATGAAGCCGTTAAAATAATGACAGAGTTGGTATTTCAGCAGGATTTCAAACTATATATCTCAAGAAGCAGTACATCGATAGGACTGGTCAGTTCAAGCAACAAATACCAATCCCGCTTATCACAGAAGTCAGTCTTTCTTTATTTTTATTTTGTCCCAAATGAATTTGTTATTTGTTAAAATTGACCTCGACAAGAAATTTTTTTAAAATGAAAACTGACTTCTAATTTTTTTTCATGCTGAGAAAAAAAATCTAATTTTTTTGTAAGTTGTGAAAATAAATCTAGCAAAATAAAGGTCACCAATATTAACAAATCCGGAGCTCCCAAAGCTAGCTCGGCAAGAGCAACGCGAGATTTCTGTCCACCAGATAAATCTTTTATTTTTACAGTATGTGTAGAGCTTGGAAGACCTACTGTACCCAGTTGCTTCCTCGCATCCTGCAATAAATTATAGAAATAATGTCTTGCGGTACTTAATCAGTGAGTCATATACGCTCTACACTAATGCAACGAACATTAAATATGCAACATATAATAAAGACGAATAATTAAAAAATATGCCGAACTCAAGGCAGACAAGAATGCTTTTTAAATTTTCTGCAAAAAATCACTCTAAAATTTACTTGATAATCGATCTTAAATTTAGTAAAAAGATATTCAATTGGAGTTTGTTCTCCATTCAATACTTCATTGGCGTGCTGATCGAACCATCCTATGCGTAACTGCCTGTGTTTCCGGACTTCACCTTGTTGCTAAATTCCACTTTTATTGAAAAAAAAAAGTTACACTTATTTTGACCACATTCCTCTGAGCAATCAACTGAGTTTCCATTCGGTTCCCATATGAGCTTTTAAATCCTAATCAAATATCTAAAAGCTTTTCCGAAAGTGTATAAATTCCAGGTACTACTGCTTAAGGTTTGCCATAGTATTGAAAACCTACTTACTGGTTCAATTTTGCCGGCCAATAGCTTCAGTAGTGTTGATTTCCCAACACCATTAGGTCCTACAATCGCAATACGAGAATCCATATCCACGCCAAAGTCAAGGTTTTTAAATAATATTTGGTCCTCATAGCCAAAAGTTACGCCTGTAAAATTCTATTTAAAAATGACAAAACAAAGATATAAAAAATGTACCAAACATTAATGCAACAATAGCAACCTTTCTTGCATCAAATCAATAAAGCCAGAAGATTTGTACTATTTACTGAAAATATTTACCGTGCAATCCAAGCACTGGAGGTGACAATTTTGTTGGGTCGGAAAAAGTAAATTTCACATTATATTCTTTAACTTTTTGCAGCAATTCGATTGGTGTTGCATCAGCTAAAATAAATAGTATGTGCTAGAATGCAATGCTGTCATTCAAATAATATCCAAAAAAGTTCATCAAATCAAATAATGTTTTTTAACATCGTAAGACTTTTTCTGACTAAAAGAGCCAAAACTAGGGCAGGTATTTAACGAAAATTACCTTTATCAGCCATAATAGTGGAGCCTTTTTTGCCCTTGTTAATTTTATTTTGTTTGTTTTGTAGCCGGTTTTTCATTTCTTCAACAGCTTGTTTCGAACTTTTGCCACTTTTTTTCAATGCAGTTAGTTGCTTCTGCTGAGTTTCGAAGGCTTTCATATGTTCCCTCATCTTCTGATCCTTCATTTTCTTGAAAACAGCTACAAAATAACAAAAAGATTAACTAGAATTCCTTTCAGAGTGGCTGAAACACATAAACTTGTCTTAAAAACCTTGGCAGTAAGGCCCATTTTGCCTTTGCTTTTTTTTACTAATCCTACTTCGCCTGTTTTGTATTGATCTTCCATTTTTTAACAAATAGTTTCGAATCTTTGTTATTTTTTTCATACGGGTAGTAGTCTTTGCACAAATAATGCAGAGAAATCTATAAAAGCTGTAATGAATTTTCAAAACCTACAATAATTTCCTTTATAGTAATACAATTTCTGATCTTGCAAATCGATAATATCTGTGCACACACTGTCCAGAAAACCCTGGTCATGTGAGACAATCAATAAGGTTTTTTTCCATGTTTGTAAATAGCTGCAATAAAAGATCGATAACGAATTCGGAGAATCAATTTAAACATTTTTAGGAGTCATTAATTGGAATTAATTTGAAGCGAACAAAGCGCAGAATTTATTCGCATGTAATTTCATATAATCTATAATTTCATAATTAGTAAGCAGTGGAGTAGAGAAAATTTTGTAAAAATCTTAAACTAACTTATCGAGCCAAATAACTGCATTCAAATCAAGATGATTGGTTGGCTCATCAAGCATCAGCAATGTTGGTTCCAAGAACAGAGCTCGGGCTAGTGAAATACGCATACGCCAACCACCCGAAAATGCTTCAACTGGCTAAAAAAACTGAAATGCAAGTTTGAACAAAGACTGTCAATGCAGTGTATCGAAGGAGCAAAAGAACAAACTTTTTCTTGCATAGTTTTCGTAAAACCGAGACCAGCCAATATACGGCGCGCTTTTGGCTCCGCTGCATCTGCATTAATATTCTTCAGTTCATCAGTGACCTGGCATATTTTATATTGTAGAGATTTTTTTTATAAGACGCCAATATTTCTGTTTTAATAAAAAATTTCGGATTTCAATCACTTTATTTCCTAGTAAGCGCTACTTCCACCAATTATAATAAACTATTCGCACTGCATTCGTGGCTACAACTTCAAATAGTCACCTCTTTTAAATGTTCGCCAACTGAAATGTCTCCTTCTTCTAACCTCTTTATCAACTGCGCCTCCTCTTCCATCAAAGCCAGTCGATGTTTGTCTGATTTAACAATAGCATCAATTGCCGGGGTATTATCAACCTCAATTTCTGAAATTTGTAAAACTAATCGAAAATTGGAACATTTCCATTGGAACAGATTTTTACTGGAAATCCAAAATTTATTGGAACAAAAACTGAAGTAATAAAAACTTTATCAATAATAAATTTATCTATAACAGACCTTGTTCGCAATAAAGAAGGTCAATATTTGGTGGAATATCTAATCTTCTCGCTGCAATATGTTTTAAAAGTGTTGTTTTGCCCATTCTGTAAAACAATAAAATATCCTCAAATAAAAAACATGAAACATCATAGAAAACATGACAAATTTTCACTGCATACCCATTTGGGCCAACTAGACCGTAATGTCTTCCGAAAGCTATTGTTAAATCAGCTTTGTGAAACAAAACTCGTCCTTGAGCTGCAATATCAAAGTTTTCCACCTGTAATGAGTGTTTATCTTAGAATTAATGGCTTCATTTGTCTATTGTAGTGCAAAATACTTTTTTGTGTACTTTTGATTTTCTACATTTTTTTTGTAAAATGTGAAATATAAGAAACAAAAACTTGTTTAAAACCAGCAGTTGAAATTGTTAGTTTTTTTAAAACAGACCTTAAAGCTCTGCAATATCACTTCCGTTCAACAGAAAAACGAAAATTAGAAGCTTTTCTTAATATAATATCAACATTTTCAATTTGATTCCATTGTAACCTTAATGTCAACAGCATTTTCAAGTTGATTTCGTTGACCGATTGACTTCGCCTGCTGCGAGACGGAAAACTGCTGTCCAAGTTCTGCACCTGACCCAATTCCACCACTTTCTAAACATTTCGGATAAATCTACAATAAACAGCAAATAAAAACTAACAATCAAATGCATACGAGCGCACGTTCGGTTAATGTATGGAGCTTAACATATTTCAGACGTAAAAAGTATCCATTACTTATCTATATGTAATACTTTTAAATAGTTTGTTGTGAAAATATCGTACTTTTTACTGATGAAAGTATAAAAAGACAACCTTTCTTTTCAAGCGCTCCTTTTTCTTCTCGATCTTCAACTGTACCACCCATTTCTCTAATCTCACGCTCATACTCCGCTTTTTTCTGCAGCTTTTTTAATTCTTTCCTACTAAGCTTCTTTTCAATCTTTTCGTCTGAAATGAACAAACTGAATAGTGGCTGCTAAAGAGACAAATCGAAATAATGTAAAGATCGACCAGTATGAAATTCACTTTCAACCTATACGCAATGCACTCCCATTAAGATCACGAATTCTGAATACAACAAAACCTACCATTTGAAGTGACCACCACCGCACCATTCGTGCAGCTTACTTTAGACATTTTTGTCTATAAATTCCAGAGCGTCAAAACAAAGCTCTTTACAGCCTGAAATCAACTAAGTTACTAGCACACATGAATTTTATCTGATTAGCGCTTCATTATAAGAAGAGGGAAGATCCTCCTTAGATGCTTGATCCATTTTTATACAGAAATGGAATTACTTCGGGATCAGATAAAAACGCAGTTCGCCCACAAGGTTCAGGCATATTTGCAAAGATTTTCAGAAGAAAGTAATAAGTAACATGCGCAATAGCAGAAATAAAATGACTGCAAAGAGTTAAAAATTGTTTTGTGAACTATTTGTATTTCGTAAATCTAGTTCAATACTATCTGTGAATAAGAAAAACATACTATTTGGAAAATTTTACATAGACACCCAAATATTTTTACAAAAAATTCAACAATAACAACAATGATAACAACAATAACAAAAATGATGTATAAAGTCTGTATAATACGATTGCTACAATAGAGCTGTTTTTATCCACTGCAGCAAAGAAGCATTATTAAGCATCAATCGATCAACTTCTCCCCAACTCTTCTTCAGTTCATCACTTAATTTGCCCAATGTTGTACCCAAATCATCATCTTTAATACAGCTAGTCCACAGCTTGTTCCTTTTGATTTTCAAGAAAGCGGCTAAGTAGGCTTGGACAAGTTCAAAATCGCGATGACTGCTGAGAACTGTGAGAAGCATTTTCAAAAAACTGCTTAGAGCCTAAAATAAAATTTCCGTGCGCACAATTCCTATTCTTTTTGAAATAAGCACCAACTGAAAGTTTGAAAATAATTGAGTCACTTAAATTTACAGACATACGACTGAATACAACTCACCTTTTCCGGCAATATGTGAATCTGAAAGTCTATCGTAGAGATACTCATCCACTTCAAAGATTCAAATGCACTGATAAAGTCAGCATCATCCGAAGCTCTGTAAACAAACACAGTTGCTTGAGCTCCTGCTTACTTCCCAGTTTCTTCAGTTTATGTTTTTAAAAAAGTAGTATCCTTCATGAAAAGTCAATCCAACATATCCGATGGGTAACATGAATAGAAAGACCTACTGTAATAATTTTTGCGCAAAAGATGATTCAATCTCCAGCATATTTCGTTTCGCCATTAATACATTACGCCGCTCTATATCATCAGTATCAATGTTCATCTTTTCAAACTCGAAACCATCGAGTGTTGATACAGCCGGCAAAAAAAATGGTGCAGCCTTTGGCTTGCGCGCCGGTTCGATTGGTTTATTTCGTTCTCGAATTACATCCAAATATGGAAGATTTGCCCAACGTGAAGATGCCAAACCCGATAAAGTTACAAGACTTTCAACCTTAATTTATTTATGATCTATAATAACATACTAAAATTTTTCATCTTAAATTTCTGAAAATCGTTATCCTAGTAGTCCTAATAATTTCATTCAAATTTAAAACCTGAAATAATATGAACATGAAAAATATAGCACTAACATATTACGAAACACAAATTTTTGTTTACAGAACACCAATTTTTTTATTTTTTATTTTAAAAACTTAACATTACCTGCTTTACTTTTGGTATGGTTTCAGAAACAGTTTCCATAGGCATTTCGATTTCTTCTGTTGAACACTGCATTTCATCCTCTAAATTCCTGAAGAGAAACCTTCGTGATATATCTAAAACCTGTTCTGTTCAATGATTCACTAATATTTTATTAATCAAAAATATATACTATTGGAGATGAAAGAATCTATTTACTCATTCAGCAACAGTTTTTATGTTTTGAATTGAACTTTATTTTCTTTATTTACGATTGCACATCTTCTAATATTTACTCAATAATAAACACACCTTCGCACGGGTGGAGCTAACGAAATCTCAGGAACGTAATCTAACGGCAGCGCTTTCAAAGCATTCACAGGAGTGAACCATGTTTTATTAGCCCAGATATAAATGCTCCTTCGGTCGTGATGACATGTGGCCAAATATTCTCCACTTAATGAGAAACAAAACGATACACAATGTGATTCACACTTCATAACATCAATTAGACTATTCGTAACAAGATCCCAAGTCTAAAACACGATAACTGATGCTGGCAGTAAAACCACTTTTATGACGACAAGATTGCAGACTTTCAAAATGAAATATAAAAATAGAAATGTTAGAAAAGAACGAACCTTAATGAGACCTTCATCGTCAGCGCTGACAAGCCATTTACCATCAGGTGAAAATCCCAAAGCAGTAAAGGATGACCGATGGGCGCCATTCACAATCCTAACAACCTTTCGGCACAAAATGTCGACCACACCAATTGAACCATTTTCTACACCAAGAGCCAACAATGAGTTATTGTCACTCATGCAAAATCGTATAACTGGTGATGGAACTTGCATTTCGGCTACTAACTTTGTGCTGCGAAAATCCCAAAATCGAATCAATCCATTATGTTCAGCGGAGACCTTTAAGTATAAAAACTCATCCAAATAATAAACTGCTACATGTAATATCGCATCGCTTATTAGCAATCAAAGAAGTGTAGAACAACTGTGTATAGACATAGCAGATTTGTGTTTATTTGGGGAATATTTCTAATTTTTAATAAAACTGTACAAGCAATAACTAAAAGACTTATCACTTACGAGTTGCCTGTTAAGTATATCAAGTGCCAGTCCTCGAACAGCAGACCTGTGCGCTTTTTGATCTTTTTTACTGCAAAGAAAAGCTTTCCTGTGGTGTCCACTCTGTAAGTTAAAGCAATCAATGTGACCAGATGTGTATCCAATTATACCGAAATTACCACATGATGAGATGCAAATAGCTGATGCGCAAGCAGATACGAGATGTGGTTTAGTTACGAATCTCTTATGAAGCAACTGAAAAGAAAGCAAAATTTGAAAATATATTTTACATATATTGATGTTTCGATTCAAATCAATACTTTCTGTAGAAACATTGTAAAAATGATAAATTCTATCAAATCAGGCAAAGTGAAGAATTTATAACATTCTGTTAAACATCAAAGATGAACACTAAAATTCAAAGCAAACAAACGCGATGTGTTCCCAAGGATTGTTTTCTCGTGGTCCACGTCGTCACTGGGGCTGTATCAATATGACGGCATATGACATTGTCCCAAGCTGCTTCTCGCGCTGAGCTCACATCCATTTGAATCACTGGTTTCAATTTGATGCTCTCAATATCACGCTTTATCTTTTTCGCTTTCATTCTATAGAATCAAAAAAGATACATTAAATAGCATGAAGGAAATAACGAGTTAGGTAATAAAATATGCTTAAAAATAAACAATACAAAAGGGACAAATATAAAATGAAACATAAGAAAGAACAAACAAAAATTACCTGGACATAGTACCAGCATTTCCTAACTTCTGTCTATGTGTATCATGTGATACTGAGAATATCCTTACAGAACCATCCAAACTAGATGAAAGGATACTGAAATTCATTAATTTTATCAATCCTAGGAATTTAATTGGTTTAAAAAACATTTTGCTCTGCAAAACGTTTATATGAAAATTATAGCATCAAGTTAGACGAAAATTGATTTCTCAAAAATATAAATGACAAGATTAATTACATACTTCTTAAAATATATTATGAACGTTTTGTTTCTAATGAAAGAAGTGTAAGTATAGAAACAAAAAAAATTGTATAGGATAATAACATTAGAAGCTTACATTTCGTTGTCGATAAATTTTACCGCAGTAATGGGTTTATGATGTCCTTCAAGCAAAACCAGTTGCCTGGGCATACCATCACCCATGTCATTAATCCAAGTTTTTAACGTGTTATCGACTCCTGCTGAAATCATCAATGGCTCGCCATTAATGTAATATATACCCGTAATGGAGCCATAATGTGCATCGGGCAACTGTCCCAATAAAGAGCGTTTGTTTAAATTCCAAACTGCCAATGTTCCATTTTCGGATGCTGTAGTCATTGTCTCTTCGCCATCAGTTCTAAAATCCCGAAAGTAAAAAAAAATTAACGGAAACTTCATAAACTGAAATTTAAAAAAATTGTTCATGTGTAGAAAATATGTTGATGCATGTGGAAACAATATCGAAGTAAAACAATTCTGGAAAGGTCAGAAATATTTCTGCAAATCAAAAATAATAAATTTCGGAAAGAACAAAAACCTAAATGCAATTGATGTTACTGGTGCATCCTGCATGTACATTTGTAACGTTTCGTCAAATTTAATATTATGCAGTATAATCTGACCATTTCTTAGTCCAATAGCGACGATATCTGTGGCCGGTGACTGTTCCAAAGCTGTTATTTCCGATTCGAATAATTTCCCAAATTCATGAATTAGTTTGCCAGTTTTGAAATTAATAATACGCAAAGTTCCTTAAAAAATATTGAGTTAAATTGTAGAATACATAACGGATTTAAAACTGTCCGACGCGGATTCTGATGACGTTGTTGTTGAAAATTTTTCAAAAAAAATGTACTTTGATTAAAATAAACACTGAATTCTCTAAAAAATTCAAAATAACCTTGTCTGGATCCCAATAGCACCTTGTTAAGATAAGTAGCTGGATGAGTAATTGCTGAACAATCGAATTGTCCGGATGTTTCAATCAGCACTAATTCGTCACCAGTTTCAACATCCATTACGTGAATCGAACTTTTCACATCCACAACCACTATTATATCGCCAAATGGAAGAAGCCAACGTACGTTATCAGATATCTCTAACCATCTTTTAACTTGCCTAAAACAAAATTCCAATTATCCGAAAATTATGCAAAACAAAAAACAAAGTTTATACATAATCTCGAAAAATAAATATTTCGACAATTTCTGAACCTTTGCGTATATTTCGCACAGCTGGAAGTAGAATAAGAAATTTTTTCCCTCCATTACATGAATAAAGTAGTGAGATGGAGATCTCTAAAGAATAAAGTAGTGAAAAGCAAATACCTGGCTAAATACAAAACAGCTATTCTTTTGTCAATGGCAGCATAAATGTAGTGAGAATCGGCAGCAACTACATTAATTCGAGCCGGTAGAACATTGCTCACTGCTATCACACGCAAATTTTCACAGAGGTACTGTATCACAACATTGTCCACAGCACAAACGACGTAACTTTCATTACGTTTCCTTGAAAGCACTCGAAAAGCCGGTGGTACAGATGAACAAATTTCACCAAGTGCCTTGTATGGTACAAACAGACGGCTCTGTTGACGTTCCATTAAAAAAGATCTACAATCAAAGCATCGGAGAAGCACATAAATAATACGGTGATAAAATAGAAGAATGAATTTGACGATGGGAAAGGATTAGTTGGTTCGGTCGTACGAGATGTTGAATATTTTAAGATTGAAGAGTATTTCAAAAGAAACAGTTGTACCCAAAACATCCCAACCGTCTCCTCGCCCCTTTCTTCCATAGGAGATACGAAAACGGAATTTCCAAAAAGTTCCACTCAGAACATTCAAATTTCACTATCATTTCCCAACAAGCATTTTCACATTTGAAAGAAACCGCCTTCGAATTTCTGCTTTCGATTTTGGTTCGCCTTGAGTGGAACGATATCGACAGGTTACTATGATAGCAGTGAATCATAATGATTGTGGATGACATGAAAAATGAAAATCCTATTTTTGTTATTAAAAAACGATTGATGAATGTGAAAGAGATGGAAATGGTAAGGGGAATTGTGCTTTGCTGGATGAGTGCATCAATGTCTAAAAGACCGAACAGTTTTTTCAATAAAAATGATGAGCTGAAAAAAAATTAACTTTTAGCAAAAAAAATGAATTTCAACTCACTTTTTTCTCAACAAAAAAACAAAGCAAAATCCAATATTAAAAAATATCGATAACTCTTTCCTAGCTAAGCTAACTGTTATTTTTGAGAATAAATCGTTTCTACACTTAATCATCACATCCCTGATATTATATTGATGATCAGTGAATTAGTTCCACGATTTTATGCATAAGCATATAATGATCAATCATTCAGCTTAATATGTTGTTCTTGAAAAACCAATATAAATTTTCGAACTAAACTGTATAACTTAGTTTATGTCTGAAACTTTGACCATCATTACACCTTGATTTGATAGGTTAGTGAAAATCATACTAATTCAATTCTTTACAAGAAGCTTACTGGTATGTTGAAAATTACTAGCTCAATCCGTCTTGTCATGTTTATTGTGATTTTCACAGCAGTCTTAGGAGGAAAAACTTAGAGCATCGAATTAGTTTGGCTGTTTTTGTTTTCAGAAAAGAAGTAAAGCTATTTCTGATTGTTTACATATTGCATTGCAGTGAAACTAATGATTAAATCATGCATATAGTCAATTAAAATTATATTTACATAAGTTTAATTCACTTTACAGAATGCGTTTCGCCAAATGAGCAATTTGATGATATGTCAAAGGCAGTCAGTTGTAAACAAAGCATTCACTGTCAAAAGAGATATGCGTGAAAAAGAAAGTAAACAATCAAATACTACGAGAAAGACAACAAGAAAATAAGTCATTTTTGTCCTTCGAATGCACATCTCCTTCTGATACTTTTCATTTTAAAAATTTCATTTAAAATTTATCTTTCCAGAGCACGCCTCGTCCAATCCTTCAAAAGTTTTTTTTCCGCTCCACAAAATAACACACAGTTATTTTCAACAATTTTTATGCATTCGTAATTTTTATTTTTACCAAAATTCAACATGATTGATTGAATCTCTTAATTGATTACTAATAGAATTTAAATTACTACTCCCTTTCAAACATTTATTACTTCAGGTTTATGATACGTAAAAGTGCTGCTTTACGGTTGTAATTAAACAAAATAGCAAATTTCTTCTCATAGAAGTCACAACCGATACAGGCTGACTAGCAAATCAGCTTATCAATGTTAAGCGGTATCAGTGATATGAAAGATCAGAGATGATGGAATTGGAACATGCAATATTGCTGCCACTACAAATTATGCATTTTTCCCGAATTACTTACGATAGGCGGCATGTAATTCTACCGACTAATTATCGTGATATAAATTATTTACGAACTATCAAATTGCTAATTAATGGCCAAAAATAAGCTGTAATGGTTTAAACTTCAAGAAAAGTTCCAAATAGAAGTAGTCGGCACATAATAGAATGATTATTTTCTAAACTATGAAACATTTGCTCTTCCTAAAATTTTGTTGCATTTTATCGCTTTTATTAAATATTTTCAAACAATAGTTATAATAAAACAAAATCTGTATTGAATTGTGTTTTAAATCAATGTGAAATAAATTACAGAAATTATGATCGAAATTATTGATCGTACTTGAAAACAGAAGCAAATTAAATTTATCTTTTCATCCTTCAAATGATATATTTTTGCTCAAGACTTTTGGATCAAAATTCAATTTAGATTTATTCTCATATTGCATGTACAATATATGTTATCAATGAGTGAAATGGTTGTACTTAAGTACAATGATAAATGTGAATACCATTCACACTGATGAAATAATCATCGATTCATCGATTACTATATGGTATTTATTGTATGTACAATTTCTTTATAGTATGATAGATCAACAAGCAAACAATCAATTTATGAAAATTGAAAGGAATGTTATGCAATGTATTGAATGAATCAAATTTGCAATTTTGTGAGGCAGCACGCTATGACGACAACTTCAGAAGAAATGATGAAAAGATAGTGAACGGTTTGAAGCGCTACACAGCTCAATATGGCGCAACTTGTCTCATCACACCGTACACACACACACACACACACACCGTACACACACACACACACATACACACATACACACACATACACACATACACACACATATACACACATATACATTAAATTGATCGATTGATTTCGCATGCGTTTAGTATAACTGCAACTGTTTTAATCTGTTTTCGTCCTTGAATAAAACTCATATATGAGTAGCAGTGAAGATCGATATGCATCCCTCATCACATATTGACAGACAGATCAGAGGTAAATAAGTGACAGATAGGTTATAGGTAATGTTGACAGATAATAACTGCACACTGCTATCCATCTATGAAATTTGCAGAAATTGAAATGCTTATGTGTTTTCGTTTTTCGTGATGGTATCGTTTAAATTTGAGAATGAAAAAAAAAAAAATTTTCCTTCGCTGTTATTTCTCTCTCCCCCTTCCCCCTCATCCCGTACCTATACTATTCCGGGATTTCGAATGTTAATTGCTTTGTATTTCATCAGGATGAAATTTTCATTTGATTTGTTATTTTTATTTTGCTGTTGTTAATTTCAATTTCAAAAAGGTCAATTTCCGAGAAATTGATCTTTTTGTCTGGATGGGTCGAAACTGAAGTATATGATCAATCACTTTCATATTTGATCAATTAGTACCAGTTTTATAGACCTGGAAATCGTGTTCCATTAATAGTTTCGGATTTAAAATTGGTTCTACAAGTTTCATATTTTATAATATCGTTTATAGAAATTCATGGAATTGTAAATTCCAAGATTATACTTTCCTATTTATGTATTGTACAGGAAATCGAAGTTAGACTACACGGTTATTTATTTTGTGCCAAATTGATATCATATAGTAAAGTAGTAACGGTTTTAAGCTTAAAAAATTATTACTGAAATTTCAAATAAGCCGAGATCGGTACCAATCTGACAGCACTTAACAGGCAAATTATGCAACTGCAAAATAAACCATAATTAAAAATATCAATCAAAAAAAATCGTTCTAATCCTGTCATAATGCATATCGCAAATGTAAAATTATTCCATTAATATAACTGCTTGATAAATTAATATTTGCCGGAATTCGAAACCGTTCAGTATTTCTTGTTCGGTGACACGTCAATTTTATTTGAAATTGGCATTAATAAATTTATTCAATTGTTACGCTCGTATGTGTTAGTTCCCTGATGTATTGAAGGCAAAAAAAGAATTTTAAGTTACGCGATGATTGGTGTAATAGTACCGTACTTGTCGAAATTTCATCGCAGTTATCAATCAAATGATATCATTGATCGTCTCAATTATCAGTACACTGCACTAATTATTGCAATTACTGCCCTAACGCTTGCTGCAACTCAGTATGTTGGTAAGCCAATTCAGGTAAGCCTTCTTTCCTATTTAATTGAACATTTGCTGCTTATTTGCTTGCTCTCCCAATAAATATTTAACAACAAAAAAAAAACATTTCGACACCTAATATAAAACATTCTTGGGCGAAACATATAATTTGTTAAACTTTCAAAAAAATTTCTAACTCACGTCTTGGAGGTAAAGTCATCCGAAAAATGCTTGATCACAGTAAAGCGATTGAATTTCAATACAAATCATATTTCAGTGTTGGGTACCTGCGCAGTTCACTGGAGCATGGGAAAAGTAAGTGAACTATGTGTGGCGTGCATATCCTATCTCTCCTTACTTTTGTTTTTTTTTTTTATCAATGACTATTCTGCGGCAAATTGGACATATTTTTTTGAAGGCTTAAAATTGTGCTTAATATCATATATCATCGTATCATATCATGAAAAAAGATTAGGGGAAAGAATTGAGGTCATATTAATTTATGCCAACATATTTAACATTTATGGAACGAAAAGATTAGTTTTGATTCAATCCAAATTTACTAAAGATTATAGCAAAAATAATTTTTAATGAGCAGAGAGACAGATGATTAATGATATTTTTTTTCAGATACACGGAAACTTATTGTTTTATCAAAGGCAGTTATTACATGCCTTTGGATGATGAAATACCACATGAATACTCACAAAGAGATGAGTCGGTTTGTTTCTCATATGATTTCTTTATCCGTATGTATTTCTATTATTCAACTTCAGAATGTGTATGTCATTTATTATTTATTAGGTTATTGGATATTTATTCAACAACAATATCGAAATTTGTAATTTACATTCTTTTCAAATTTTATCCTCCTATTTCAGTAATATCACGCCTTAGTAACTAGATTTCTAGTTAAAGAGAGTGCTTTAAAAATAAAGCTTATTTATCTTAATAGCATAATCAGTTTATTTCATCATCTTATAAACATTTTTAAGCAGCAAACAGCTTCTATTTCATATGAAATTAAGGGTTTATTTATTAAAAATAACTTCAGAATGTGCATGTCATTTATTATTTATTAGGTTATTGGATATTATCAATGGGTACCAATCGTTTTGATATTGCAAGCATTTTTGTTTTATTTCCCTTCCATCGTTTGGCGAACGATGAATTCTAATACAGGTCGAGGAGTGTTTGTTTTTATCTTCTTAATTTTTTTTTTTTTGAATTTGGAAAAATCATATTTTTGTAAAAATTGTAAAAAATTTTCAAAGCTTTTAGCTTATTGAAATTAATGCTGAAAAAATCAGTTAGATTTTTGAATTTTATAATCAATCCATTTATTATAGGTATCAATGTAAGAGGAATTCTGAATTCAGCAGCAATGGTGAAGAAAAAATTTGATAAGAGTTCTCGTCTTGCACAAGTGCATATAGCTGCAGATCATTTGCGTGATGCTTTGGACATGCAAAGAGAGCTTCGAACTGGTCTTTTCTTTTTTTTTTTTTCATTTTTAAGATAAGCGTTTTATATACTTACGTTTTCTTAACTTTTACGTCAACCGTTTAAGTTCAAATTGAACTCAAATTGAAAATTATAATTTAGAACCATACTTTAGACTGTTTATTGTGTATAAAACATTTCAATAAATAAGCTATTCATCCGCTAGATTTTTATTAAAATTACTTCTTTGAAATTATCACTAATCATTTTATAGAAATTTTTCAATTTTTAAGGATCATTTGATTGCTTTCATCTTGGTAAACGAAAAGGAGTTTATCTGATTTTCTTATACCTCTTCACCAAAGTGCGTTCTTTTACATCTTTTTGATAGATAAATTGTTTTTGCAAAAAAAAATCTTAAAAATCTATTATTGTTTTCTAAAAGGTTCTAATTTCTAGTCTTCTTCAGTAATGAATTTTATATTGGCGCGAAATATTTCTCATATCCAATCCTGATTTATGTAATATAATTTTTCTTTTGTAAGATAATTTTTATAATAATAGTTGCTGTATGTGGCCAATGTGATTCTACAATTTGTCATTCTGAATGCATTCCTCGGACCGCAGTATACTTTCTGGGGTGCAGGTATTCTTTCGGATATATGGCATGGCAAGGAATGGAGTGAATCAGGACATTTTCCTCGAGTTACAATGTGCGATTTTCATGTCAGTAATCGTTTGCTGTTAATTGGTTTCATTCGCAATAAATATGCTAAATATTCCTTCTTTTTGAAGCGCTTTTAAATTCATTTTACAAGCAATGAGAAAGTTATGATGGAAAAATGAAAGATCGATGGAGTATTTTATTGAGATTAATACAAGCATACTTCTGTAATGGGTTTTTATGGAAATTATTGAAGTAAAAATTTGAAATTCAGATTCGTGTGCTGGGCAATATTCATCGTTGGACAGTGCAGTGTGTCTTAATGATTAATATGTTCAACGAGAAAGTATACATTTTCTTATGGTAAACGAATTTTTTTTTCTCTCCTCATCTTAGAATGTTTACAATCGATATTTCTCAGATAGCATTCATTGCTATTACTATTAAGATTACTAATGATAGGTGGTGGTTTATATTGGTTGGAATTTTATCAGTATTATCGTTGCTCTATTACTTTTTTGCACTGATCCTTGAATCAAATCAACGACAATTTGTGATCCGTTATCTCCGGTGTGCTGGTGCTATTTCGGATTTTAGAGATCCAAAAACTGAAAAATATCTCCGTGATTTTATCAAAAGATTTCTGCGACCCGATGGTATCTTCATTTTACGACTTATCGAGGTTTAATATCAATCTGTTTATTATTTTGCATTTAGCTGTACAATCGTCATCATTGAAACTTAGCTAAATTATTACTGATGCAAAATTAAATTTATGCCCGATCATAAATTTGTTATTAAAGTGGTGCAATCTAGTGAGCAAAATAGATAAGGCCTATGTGAGTCTTCTCGATGTTTGTCGATATTTTGATGATACGTTTTTTGTAGACAAATGGCGGCGATTTATTGGTTGGTGAAATTATTAATGTAATGTTCGCGCGCTATAAAGCTCGTATGGAGGAGCAGTATGAAACGATGGCTTTGACTGATAGCACGCATTTGAATGGTAATGATAATTTATTGGAACGATAATTTTCTTTATTTCAAGCAATTAGTTTCTAGATTATTAGTGAATTTTCGAAAGTTTGAATATTGTCAGTTGTTATATGATCAGTTAAAAAACAAGAAATTGGAATGTGAATGTGTAAGTAATTCAGAGAAAAATGCAATCCAATTGATCGGGAAGAACTGTTTATGAGCTATTAATGGATTTCTATTATTTTTAGACCTTGAAGAAGATGACACTATTTCATTTAGAGACGTAATGGCACATTCTTAATAATATGAATGCACATTAATCCTTAGAAATAACAAAATTGTTAGTTAATAAACTTCTTTTCATATCAAAAATATACCCAAGAATTTTTTTTTCAAATAAAAACGAGAAATGTTAGAAGCTTTTCAATAGCACCCGAATTCATTGTTAAGTTACTTCTATTATTTCTGCACATCACCATCCTTGCAAAAGTGCTTCTCGTTTATAAAATTCAAATAAAAAGCTGAATATTGTTTTGATATTGTGTTTTCAAATACTCTATCGTAAAGCTATGCTGCTCACCAAAAGATGTGATATTGCAGATTTTCATAGCAATTTCTTAAAGATAAAAAGAAATTCGGCGCATTTTGTAATATTAAAGATATTAATGATAAATACTGATAATAGTGTGCCAAATATTTATCATTACTTATCATTACTATCATTATTGTATTATTACTACCACAAAATTGGTAATAATTTATTAGTAATAATTTACCAAGTATTTATAATTTCACCGTATTATACAGTATTTTATCTTACATACTGTATAATGATAAATATCCGATATTTTATTATTACTATTTTATGATAAATGATTTAGTCGTGTAGTGATAAATATTTAAAAGTCATTAATATTTTACATTACATAATTGGCCGTGTAATGTATGTCGATGTGCACAGATGAGTGTGTATCGGTTCGATGACCTAAAAAAGAAAGATTTTAATGGGCAATGTTGAATACAGTAGCTGCTGACCGTCATAGAATTGTACCGCTACGAACCGAAATTTTCAGTTATACAAAATGTGCACGCATTCAACAAAATTTCTTTCTCGAACAAAAATTTTAATTTGTTTGATTCAATTTTACGATTTTAAATTATAATTTAATTCTATTTGTGTAATTGTTTTTGCCTTGAACTTTTGAAAAAGCGATCGAATGAAGAAGTTATTTGTGACTTTGAGCACATATAACTGGAAAATCACAGAAATTTAAATTCGGATGAGTGTATATTTGATAATTTGTTTGAATTAACATAATTAGAAATGTAATCAGTCTACAGCGGACATGCACCAGAATTTATACATCGAAATTTCAGCTAAAGCTTTCATTGGTCAATAATTTTATAATTTCACTATGCAATTTAAATTAATTTATGTCACTTTTATATTTGAATATTTTGATCTATTGTGATAGTGCAATAAATAATATTTTGTCAATGATTGCTACAAATGCTAATCTATATTTCAAATACAATTATTTAATCATCAAGAATTTCACGGTTAAAGAAATGGAATTTTGAGATATTTTTATCCATTCGACACACACACTTATCGCTGATAAAATGTCCCGAAATATATAAATCATTTTTATTTAATGGATAGTGAATGAAATAATTTGATGGCAGAAAAAGTAAAAAAAAAAGTTTAAAATGTTTGTTTGAACTACAAATTCGATTAATAATAAATCCCACTTATTCATTTAACCCGTTTTGTGTGTTCTAATGGCGCGTTATTATTTAAAATCTGATGGAAGAAAAAACAGACATTAACTTGCATTCGATCGTTTAAACAAAATTGATTATTTAATTCATTCAGTCTATTCAATTTGCTGATGAAATATTACTAAGAAAAAGTGAAAAAAATTCCAAGAATAAAATAAATAGAATAGAAAGACGTTTATTGAAGATTATAGATGTGAATTTTTTTATCTTTTCTGTCCACTTCCAAAAATATTTCTTTCTTGGCAGTTATTCCTTCCATTCTTTTGTCTACGATTTGTGACAAATAACTGATATTGTATAATTAATACTGAGTAACTGATAATGTATGATTTTATATTAACTAATCGGTACTGGGTAACTGATATTATGTGACTTTATATTAAGTAATCAGTAGCGACTATTAATATTATGTGACTTTATATCAAATAATTGATACTGAGTAGTTGGCATTATGCGACTTTATATCAAGCAATCGATATTGACTAACGAATTTTTAAGACAATATTTACACATAGTTAGTACAAATAATCATTGTTGTATATGAATTGATTAGGCAGGATAATATGGTAACAATTTTGTTGTTATCAAAAAAATACCAACACTGTCACTTTATGCTAATTTAAGCTGAGATAAAACGATTCTCTAGCAAGAGAAATATTTAGAACAAATATATTTTATAAATGTTGCAAATTACTTTACTACTATTTGCGCTTTGCGTTGTAATCAATGGCAAAACCAACAATGATTGCTCAAAATACAAGGATTGCGCTTCTTGCGTTAAAGCACATCGTCCTTTACCAGGATTTCAGAGATATTGCGGGTAAGAATTCTACTTCGATTCTTCATTTCTTATTTTCTTGAAAAAAAAAGGGAAAAAGAAAGCTATAACTTTTAATGACAATAAAAAACTGCCATCAATGAGATTTTATTCATTTCAATATTAATTTATTTTCATATCCGAAAAAAAACATTTTTCATTCATTCTAAATTGGATCAATCTTTGATAGTATTCACTGTCTTATTTGCAAATTAATTTAAGCCTGTATAATAAAATACAGGCGGTATAATAAAAAAAATATAATAAAATTTTTCATGACACCGCGATATTTCCTAATTATTACTCTGAAATATTCGGGAAAATTCATCAGAAGTAAAATTCATATATTTGTACCTAAAGTTTTGTCAGCCAATTTTTTTTCATTCAAAGTTTTCAGGTGGCATACTGACAAGTCATCATGTGATGAGCCATTTGCTATTATAGCAGGCAGCAACGTGGTCGTACGTGAACCATTTATGTGTCCTCAAAATGTACCAACTGCTGAAAAATATCGCTATACTGATGCACTTGGCCGCTCCCTGTATGGCCTTACATTAGCCGTTCGAAATAAAGATCCTGCAGAATGCCTTGCAAATAGTCAACCTGACATACAGTAAGAATATCATTTCTTATCAATCTTTTTTCTCTCATCTTATAATTCAACTAATTTGCCATATTAACTACAGTATCATTAATCATAACGTTATGAATTATTTCACATCAAAATTTATCGTTTATCTTAGAAATTAGTTTATAATAATTTAACTAATTAATTCACTCATTAAGATTGATAAAGCGTTATGAGGTGGAATGTGATCAATCACGTAATCTTTGTGCTGCAATGCTTGCTGTTTCTAAACGTGACAAGAAAATTTATGTTGTGTATAAATCAAGCAATATGGACAAACAATTAATTACGGAAGTATTATTTTACTTTTATTCCTAACACTTATTTTGCATCAAAAATATTGCAATTATTGATAACTTTTTATCAATCCATAAAATATTGTCATTAAATTTTGTTCCAATTTCGAGTTTGTTTGAAGATATCGAAAAAATAAATCAATAATATATGAACAATAACGGAAATAACTTAAACTGCCTATAATACAACATGAATAAAATTTTTGCTAAATAGTGCTCAATTTTTAATAATTTTAAATATGCATCAATTTAATATTTCATCTTTATAAAGATAATTTAATTCAAAAAATTTATAGGATTCGACGAATTTAATCATTTTTATTAAATTTTATTGAATTATTTCCACTAAAAATTTGCATTGATTGAAATTTTACCAAATAATTTTTGTGTGAATTTATCATTTTTCAAAATTTTTTGATGCCATCGACAAAATATTAAATTAATTCAGCTATCGTGAAGAACGAAAAAAATTAATGACGACTGCATTCAGATCATTCATTATAATAACTTTTGATAACTTGAAATCATTTTATAGTTTATACATATGGTCGCAGCGCAATTGGGCGTGTGGGAGAAATTTGAAGGAGGAGGTGGCGTGGCGACCTATTTTTATGCCGCATTCGAACGGCTCTTTA